GATAAAAATGATTTTAAAATTAAGGAACAAGTTGATCGTTTTCATTTCCGTATTTCACGTAGATCCGACGCTTGGAATATTTTACGGATAAAGTCAATTGCTTTCGGAGAACTATGAATGGAAACTATAGTGATCGTTGTCGGTGCTTGCCTAGACAGGATCATTTGAATGCTATCCATAGATCGGGAGAAAGAGAGATTCTCTAATTTCGCCCGATTGTTAGGTTCTAATGCGTTTCCCTGTTTTTTCGCATTCCTCCAGGAAATAAGTATGATTATGCAGTCGAATGGTTTGTTCGCAACGATTCGAGAACGACCGTGATCCGTCGGTAATGACTGCGCGGCGTAATCACCGATCGAAATGACACTCGCGAACCCCGTGGCCATTATCTTTTTCAATTTGCATACAGCGAACGTTGCCGCGATAATTCATCCTGCGGAGGAGGAATCTAATAAAGGCCTTCTACTATCTCTCTCTCTCTCTCTCTCTCTCTCTTTCTCTCTCTCTCTCTCTCTCTCTCTCTTTTTCTTCGTTTCTTTCTCCGTTAAGTAATTCCACCGGCCGCGAAACTGTTGGCAATTTGCGCTCCGATGGGGATAATTGGCTGCTGAAAGATTGGATCAATTATAGGGGAATATCTTTATCTAGTATCGAACAACAGAACGCTGTAGGAGAAGCGTCTTTCCTGACAGATCATGGAAACGTTCCAAACAGAGCAGATGTACCGACTGATGTCAGTAATCTCGTGGTAGTGCACGAAAGTATTTCTAGAATTTCAACGATCTTAAAAATGACTTTAGAGAAATCATTTCTAAATTAAAAATGTGGAACTGGTTATGGTAAGCCTTTTTTAGAGTTAAGTCTTTCGTTGTCGAATATTTGGGAATTTCAGCGCTTGATTATCCGCGCGTTTGAGTGTTTAAGCGTTTCAGTATTTGAGCGTTTGAGAATTTCTGCGTTTAAGTGTTCGAGCATATGATTGGTTGAGCGTTCGAGTGTTTAAGCGTTTGAGAATTTCAGCGTTTGAATATTTGAGCTGCTAAGTGTTCGAGCGTTTGATGATTTGTCCGATAAATATATAAGAGTTTGAGTATTTCAGTGTTTAAGCATTTGACTAATTGAGCGTTTGATGATTTTGTGTGCTTGAGTATTTGAGCGTTCGAGATTTTCGACGTTTGGATATTTGAGCGTTCGATGATTTGTGCGCTTGAATATTTAAGCGTTTGAATCTTTGAGCTGTTGAGTGTTTGAGCGTTTAATGATTTGTGCATTCGAGTATTTAAGCTTTTGAATATCGAGCTGTTAAATGTTTGAGCGTTCGATGATATGCGTGTCTGAGTGTTTAAGCGTTTGAATGTTTGAGCTGTCGAGTGTTTGAGCGTTCGATGATTTGTGCGTTTGAATATCGAGCTGTTAAGTGTTTGAGCGTTCGAATATCGAGCTGTTAAGCGTTTGAGCGTTTGGATATCGAGCTGTTAAGTGTTTTAGTGTTCGATGATTTGTACGTCTGAGTGTTTAAGCGTTTGAATGTTTGAGCTATTCAGTTTTTGAGCATTTGATGATTTGTGTGTCTGAATGTTAAGCGTTTGAATGTTTGAGCTGTTGAGCGTTTCAGTGTTTGATGATTTGTGCGTTTGAGTATCTAAGCGTTTGAATATCAAGCTGTTAAATGTTTGAGCGTTCCATGATTTGTGTGTTTGAATATCGAGTTAAGTGTTTCAGCGTTTGATGACTCGTGCGTCTGAGTGTTTGAGCGTTTGAATACCGAGCCGTTGAGTGTCCGATCGTTTGTCGGCCGTTCGCAGGCCAAGTTTCGCCCGGCACCGTGCAAAAACCGGGAAGTTTTAACGACATGTCCACGGCAGGAGATGCCAGGCTGGATCGACTTAGCAGGAGCTGGAAAATGTCTCACTCAAGGCGGTCGCGCGGCTCTAATAGAAGCCGCTAGGTAGGTCATCGGATGTCATAAACGCTCGACGGAGTTTCTTCGGTGGTGCAGCGCGTGTTAATAGCCTCATTAGATATCGCGGCACAGTGACGTACACGGACGTTTCTAGACCACCGACCCAGCCCGGAGGAAAGTTGTCGACAGCCGGCTTCTACCAGCGCCATCGAAAACTAGGCAGTAATCTGAATCGACGAATCTTAAACGATTTGTCTCCGATTTCTAAAGGATCATGCAATCAATAAACTCTCCTTCAGCAGCAGCCTTTGTAATCATTTGCATCGCAGAAAGTTTGACAGAAAAATCTGATTTTCACGCTTGTTCTTGTCACGATTTCTCTGCTGACAATCCGGTTTCATCATCGAGCCATGGTTCGATTCGTTACAGATCGATAGTGATTCGTCGTAACCGATATATAACTCTGATTATTTGTAATGATCGCTAATAAACAACAATTTTTTGTCAAGTACACACGATAGTTGTTCGTAACGAATTAACATTTTCGTCATCGATGATGATGTTATTTGTAACCAGAAACTATTTTCGTCATCTATAATGATTGGTAATTAAACAAAGTTCTACTTACTTATAACCATTAATTACCAACCGCAACAC